AGAATAGCTGTGCTAGAGGAGCAAAGACGAGGGAAGGCCACCAGTCAGGTTTGCCACAAGTTTCTGAATGTTAAGACATTGCAAGAACTAAAGGAAATACCTGGAGGACCTCAGGCTACCTGCAGCATCTAAGTAATGATTTGTGGGGAAATGCCTGAGGCCACTATAAGATTTTCTGACTGCTAAATCCCATGCTTTTCTTCCCACCACTGCCTGAGGAACAGTAACACAGCTTGTTTCTCTCACCTTCTTGGTGTCATGTGAGTGACTCTCGGAGTCAACAGGGAATATTATTGAAAGGAGATTTTATAAATGTTCTTCCCAGGCTTTTACCCCCTGCAACATAGGGAAGAGCCTGGAAGTGGGGAATGGTGCTGAGTGGCAAATAGACCATCTGGGACAGTGATCTCTAAGACCATGTAGGATCCACTCCACTGCCTTTCTCCAGCTTTGGCTCTCTTATTCTTCTCTACCGTTCACCCTTATTCCACGCCCTACTAGAACCCAAATTTCAGACCTATTAGAGTGGGTGTTTTTAGAGGCCTTGAACAACTGACATTTACTATCTCATAGTTTCTGTGACTTAGAGATTTAGGAGAAACTGATCTGGTGGTTTCAGCTCAGGGTCTCTCATTAGGCTTCAGTCATCTGAAGGTTTGACTGGGGCTGGAGGATCCACCTCTAAGGTGGCTCTCCCACATGGCTGTTGGTGGGATGCCTTAATTCCTTGCTACATGGGCTGCTTGTTAGGACTGATTGAGTGTCCTCACAAGATGGCAGCTGACTTTTTCCAGAGCAAGTAATCCTAGAGAGAGACCAAGGAGGAGAATACTAGAGTGCTTTTAACTCCCTTGTTCTGGGAGCAGTTTGCCTGGTATCTCAGGTGTGGTTCCCAGAAGCAGAACATGAGATGAAGATTTTTGGAAAGTGATACATGAAATATGTGAAATAAATATCTGTAAAATTGAGTAACTGAACAAACCCTTCTTCGGGTGGAGAAGCAAGATGCTTAGCCTTCCTAGGCCTGTGTCCATTTCTGGGGAGCTAGCTGAGCAGAGACCATATTGTCCCATCAACCATGGGAGTGGGCAAAATCCCAGAACAGATCTCTACATTTGGAGTGGCAGTACCCTCTAAGTCCATGTGACTCATACAGGCTTTTCCTTGCAAAATTAGGATGAAACTATATTTATTTGTGGGTAGGGAAGTATTAATATTAAAAATATGAGATGTATATTTTTAAAAGGAACCTTAGCTGGAGTTTCAATGAGCTCTTGGCTAATTGTACATTTTCCTGCCTTGCCACATCCTGGTTGGGTCCGTGTTACATCCTGAGCTGTGAGGGAAGGACTGCTATTTGTACTAGTAATTGTAATCCACAGGATTCAGGCATTGGATTTCAGTTCAGACAATGAGAACTTTCAGACAAGGGCATATTGTCCATATTGATATAGTTGTTCTCTACTTTAATATATGGAGGAAAAAGGGGAGCTGCTGAGGCTCCCTTGTTTCATGGGTTATCATTCTCTTCAAGTTGTTACCTTAGAAAAGTCTGAAGAAATAGCAAAGAACTCTCCCCAGTTTGTTCTGCTTTTCAGCTGCTAAGCCTTACACTGTTTTCCTGAGGGAAAGTGAAATAGTTTCTTGAAAAGAGGGGCTTTTGTATCTCTCAATCTCATCTTTAGTTGTTGGTTGTTTTTTGTTTGTTTGTTTGTTTTCTTTTGTTTTTTAACCACAAAGCTAGTTTTCTTTCCTCTTCTCTTTTCCTGGGATAATGTCTGGCTCTGGTGAAGCTCTGCCTTTCCAGGACCTTCGTGATTCCTGTGCTCCAGGCCCCTCACAAGATTTTACTCCTCTGAATGTTCCATGGATGGACCCATTTAGAATCAGTCATGGAGTGGGGAGGGGAGGTCTTGATGTTCCTCCCAAGGAGGTTGGTGGTGAGATTCCACCTGACGTAGTGCTAAGGAGCTGTTTGTTCTTGGTTGTGGAACTAGAAAACTTCAGCCTTTAGATCTGATTTCAGGAAGGTAAACCTATAAATGGAAAAAATTGTCAGAAACTTTTCACAACTGCTTTTTCATCCTTCCCAACTCCCACTCTATTGTCGTTTGGGTTTTTAGAGATGTTTAAGAGAAAGCAGAGGCAATGACAATGACCTTCTACTACTTTTGCTATGCTCGGAATCCTTAGTTTTGTTGAAAAGAGGATCTGATTTATCATTTCCCTCAGTATTTCCACAAGAGGGAGACTGCTCGTCTCCTCAGGAAAGGGAGCATTAGGGTAAACACTTCTCTCTGCCTGATGATGGAGGGGAGCTGAGCAGGTGAAAGGTGAGACTGGTCCGTCACTCCTTTTCTCTCTGGCTGGCTGGCAGGATGTGTCAGTGCCTACCTGTGGTCCTGCAGAGGACTGCATGCATAGACTTGAGGCCAGAACATTTGTGTTCCAAGCAATAGATTTGCGGATGGAAGGCAAGAAGGGGCATCAGGTCCAAGTTGTGTTCTTCCACACAGGTTGGGAAGCCCTGCATTTGGGAGGTTGTTGGGCACTCACTCAGCCATTAATAAAGCTGACATTGGGCCCGTAGATCTTTTTTCTTTCTTCCTCTTTCTTTCTTTTTTTCTTTCTTTCTTTCTTTCTTTCTTTCTTTCTTTCTTTCTTTCTTTCTTTCTTTCTCTCTCTCTCTCTCTCTCTCTCTCTCTCTCTCTTTTTCTTTCTTTCGAGAGAGCACACGTGAGAGTGGGGGGAGGGGCAGAGGGAGAGAGAGAGAGAGAGAATCACAAGCGCAGGCTCCATGCTCAGTGAGGAGCCAGTTGCAGGGCTTGATCTCAGGACCCTGAGATCATGAGCTGAGCCGAAATCAAGAGTGGGGCACTTAACCGACAGTGCTACCCAGGCGCCCCTGGGCCTGCAGGTGTTGAAATATGACATCATTTGTCAGAACCCCCAGGGGAGGTGGGTGAACTCTTACATTCCCCATACTCTTGACGAGGAATGGCTCCCAGATAGCTTTGAACGGCTTTTGCCCGGGTGTTTCAAGCTCATTGTGCCTGGAAGTGAGCTCTACTTACATCTGCTTCTCTCATGGTTCCTGCCTTGGGGATAGGCCTCTGAATTGTCATGGTGTCCTAAGCTGGTGGGTACTGGAGCTTCCTTTCTCACCATCCCCATGCACTGCCCCTCTAGGTGGCTGCACCCTGCTTATCACTCAGGTCTTAGCTGTGACATCACCTTCACCCAAGTCTTTGCTGACCCACATGGCCTGGGTGTTCCTGGAGCCCCCATACTTATTCACCAAAGTCTGAATTCCACTGAAGCATGTTTGCCCCATCATTTCTTTGCCTTTTCCACTAGACTTCAAGCTTCTTGTAAGAAAGGTCTAAGTATTGTTTATCTTGAATACCAGCTCTAGCACGGGGCCTGCCTGCAGTAGCTGGTCAATAAATATTTCTTGAATGAGGACCACTTGGGCCCAAGAGTACCTGAGGCTGTATAGCATAGTGGTCACAAGCCCACCATTGGAACCTGAGGCCTGGGTCCAGACCCTGCTGTTTGTGTGATCTTGGGTGAGTTCCTCAACTTCTTGATCCTTAGTTTCTTCACCGATAGGACGGGGGTAATAACTATTAGGGCTGTGATGATGATATGCTTTCATTTATGCAGAACACCTGGAGAACTGTGTGACACAGTGTTTGGTATTTCAGATAAGTGTTGACAGCAGCAGCAATACAGTTATCCTTAATGGAAGGGAGAAGACCATAAGCAAAACTTGGAATGAGAAATCATGCATGTTGAGTGCCTGCATAATGGGTTTGAAGAGGAGAGGTGGTTGGGAACCAAGGTTTCTAGCTAGGGCAATGCAAATGTAGGAGCAGATGGGATTGCTCTGGAAAAGAATGAATGGTGGTAGGAGGAATACGGTGGGAGAACCAAAGACAGAACCTTGAGAAATCCTACATCTGAGGGATAAGAGGAGTCAAAACAGGAAAGAGAGAGAATGATTACCAGTAGGAGATTGCAGTTCATCAGATGTCAGGGACAGGAGTTTTTTAAAAGATAGTCAGGGGTACTGTGCTGGGCAGAAGGCTTGGGAGAAAACTAGAAGCAGCAGCAAGAATCCAATAAATGGGGGAGCATTAGTGCCCTTGTCTGTTTCAGTAGAGGCAGAGGAAGGAAGAAGCCAGGCTCTGCAAGGAGTTAGAGAAGGCCAGGTTAGGGACAGAATGGACACACTAAGGATGATTGTTGTGCTGCAGATGCATATTACTTTGTGGGTAGAGGACTGATGTCACTATAATGAAGAAGTCACATTAGTTCCTACGGAGGGTTTTTTCTTTGCATGTTAACACTTCGCATTGATGGCTAATAGCAGCTGCATGTAGCAGGCCTCCTGGAGACAGGGAGCAGCACATGGTGCCTGGTCTCCCTGTGCTCTCCTCCTTGGTTCTCTGGCTTCTGCTTGGTCTTGAAGGGCTTTGGGGGCAGTCCTCGCCAATCTTTGTGCATTTTGTTCACTGATTCCATACCACTTGGTAGCCTCAGCCCTTCTGTTTACTCCTTCCATCATGCTCTCCCACCCCTACATTTTTAAGGTAAAGAGTCCTATCTCTTAAGAGTGTTTTTCTTAGGTATTTAATGTTTTTTAAAGTTTCAGTGTTGTTTTTTTTTTATTATGGTTACTGTTTTTGTTAGTGCTTGGGTTAAAATTTTAGTTCATTTCCCAGCCCTTTTTTTCGATAAGCATTATTATTATTTTTTTTTAGTTTGAGCTTGTAAAACATTCGTTTTTAGCAATACCTATGTCTAGTTATAGACAACACTACCATGACTCCTTTTCCTAAGATTGAACAATGCTGGAAGGGGACATGGGAAGGAATGGCAGGGTCTAGAGAAGGTTTTCTCAAGGATCCAAAGACTTGACCATGCTTGGCTGCAAGTTGGTTTAAATCAGCTTCCACTTAGTGACATTTTCTAAGTGCTGTCCATTATATATTTAGGTGTTCATGTTTTTGCATTTTTATCTTCTCTGTGATATTTCACTACAGTCTGAACAAGCATCTGAGGCTGAAATACACCCCCAGCTGAACAGAGCCCCCTCTCAAGCTGCAGACAGTAGTCCAACAAAGAAGGTAAGGCCTGCGGGAAGGCGCCTCTGTGATGGCATTGTGAGCCCCTCCCCTGGGCTTCTGGTCTCTGTTTGCAGATCTGTTTTACTTTGGTTTCAGTGTCCTGACCTGAATGTTAATGATCCAGCTTTCCTAGAATTTGGGTTTTTTGTGAAGATTAGGGTGCTGATGATTCTTGGGTCTGACCTTGATGTCACTGACAGTTTGCACTTCCTCTTCGGCCTCCCAGCTAAACATGGCGGCCTTGCTTTTGGCAAGTTGAGGAGGGGTGGTGGGGAGGGCCAAGTGCCTTTGGCAGAACCTTTCATGCTACTGAGGCTCTAGGAGGGCCTCTGGTGGGGGACGGGGTAGTCTCCCCTTCTTTGTCCATGTGCCACAGTCCCCTCTTGCATCTTGGTGTCTTCACCGTAGCCCACCAGTGTCACTGAGTCCCAGGTCACTTGCTCGGGAGGTGCCACTCACTTGTCGTGCTCTCTGTTCACCTTGTTACCCTATCCTTGCTCCCCATTTTTCTAAGGCCCTCCTCTGGTCAGAGCATGGATCCTGGGCTTGGGAGCATGGGGGAGGAGGGGCTTCCCAGGAAGCAGGCTGGCTGTCTCCTTCCAGAAGACACTGTAGCCCTTGAGCTTGGCTTCATGTATGAATTGGGAGTGGAAGAATGAGGAGCAGATGGCTGAGCCCTTCACAAACTTCAAAACTTACAACATATTCCCACAAGACCCAAAGTGAGGCAAGAGCGAGCTTTGTCTTCAGTCAGAAAAGGCCTCATGGTGTGAGATTCACACAGCATTGAAAAAAGGGAGGGTGGGCAGGTGGGCCACTGGAGTCTGATTCCTGGGTCCTTTCAGGTGCAGAAAGCGGTAATAGGCTGCAAGCAGGGAAAGGAAAAAAGAAAGGCCCCTAGAATCTGATGCCCATGTCCCCGCCCCCCTTTCCCCCCCTCCCCCATTCTCGTGAAGCCATGAATCAGCTTTATATCCTCGGGTGTGGGGTTTGAACAGAGTGTGCACCTGACCTGGGAATGGGCCTAGGAGGAACATGAGCACATGGGCATGATGGGGGAGCATTTCAGTTTTTAACTTGTGGTTTTTATTGTTTTGTATTTAATCCACAGGACATACCATATTCTCAGCCTCCATCAAAGCCCATCCGAAGGAAATTCCGACCTGAAAACCCAGCTCCAGAAAACCAAGAGCCTTCTAGCACTGTTGGCGGGCCAGCGTCGGCAGCGACCGGGAAACCCCACACGGCAGTTCAGAAGTAAGTACGTCACATCAGGGAGGTCAGAGACTGCCTTTTCAATCTTCGTATGCATGTACGTGTAAATCTGTTTATATTTATACTCACGGCCATAGAAGGGTGTGATTTCATGGCTGTAGTTTTGCCTTCCTCCTCTCTGTGGTGGTACTACAGGCTCCCAGTCACCTAGAAAGAGACCTTCTAAGCTATAGGACTTAACCTGAGCCAAGGGGCAAGCGAGTACAAAGCTGTGGTGTTTCGGTTTTTTCATTTCCTTCCCGTCCCTCCTCCTCTTCCTCTCCTTCCCACCCCTCTTCCTTGTGCTGGGCCACGTTTTCCTAGGAAGAAGACAGTGATAAAAATGGCAGTTTCCCCTCTTTGCCTGTCTTATGCTGCCCCCCAGGGCAAATGGCTAGCTTCCTGACCCTCAGTCCCAACTTTGAGTAGATGTGGTTGTGATTTTGTTTCATTCCCCATGAAAATTTTCTGTTGTCGATCATCTCAGCACAGAATGGTCACCTGTGGAGCCTCCAGAATATCTGTCTGACCGCCTGTAATAGACATTGGAGGAGGTGGCGGGGTGGGGAGGCGTCTGTGGACAAGGCCAGGAACCAAGAGAATAATGCTCTGGACAAACCAATTTTCTGCAGAGACTTTGGCTTTAAGAAAGGCTATTACTCGCCTCAGTTTCCCTGTAGTGAAATTGAGCGAGGCGTTGAGGGCAGAAACCTGCTACTGTGCGTGACTTCACAAGTGAACTCGACTGGTCACTGACATCAGTGCTCAAGATAAGCCCTGTGACACTGCTCTCAGGGCCTTGCTGATCCCAGGGGCTACTGTGGGTTTCTCCTGCTTACGCTGTTGTAGAAAAAGGAGCAACAGATTCTGTGGATGCAACTTGCCTCTGAAGCCAAAACCCCATTGTGAATCTGTGCAGCACTCTTTAGATGATGGTTTTGTTGTCTCTTTTTCCAAATAGACAGTTCCCTGGTGGTATCAGTGCATAAAGGAAATCTGTTTTGTTCTTAATGGCCCCTGAGAGCTTTGATCATCTTTCCACCACTGTCAAGCCTGGGGGACGGATCCCTGTCAGGGACACAGATGGCTAAACTTGCTTCCATGTGCCACCCTGGCTTTCCACTGTGGTCTCTGCTTCACATTACTGCTGGTCAGTCAGTGGTGCTTACAGCACCCCCGCTCCACTGACTGGATGGAGGGCAGCTGGCGGAGCTCACGCAGAGGTCTTTTTCAGTTTCTTTCCTTCGTCTGTTTTTTTTTGAACAGTTTTATTGAGATATAATTCATATAGCATACATTTCACCCTTTTACGTGTACAGTTCAGTGGTTTTTAGTATATGCACAAAGTTGTTCAACTGCTGTCACAAACTAATTTTAGAACACTTTCATCACCCCCAAAAGAAATTCTGTGCTGATTAGCAGTCATTTTCCATTCCCTGTCCCATGTCCCAGGCAACCACTAATCTACTTTCTGTCCTTATGGGTTTGCCTGTTCTGGCCATTTCATGTAGATGGGACCATGCAACATGTGGTCTTCTGTGGCTGGCTTTTTTTCAGTTCACATAATGTGTTCAAGGTTTATCTGTGTTGTAGCATGAATCAGTACTTGATTCCTTTTTATTGCTAAGTAATGTCCCATTGTATGGATATACCACATTTTATTTATCTTCTCATCACTTGATGGACATTTGGGTTGTTCTCACTTTGAAGCTATAAAGAATAATGCTGGTATACTATGTGTGTACAAGTTTTAGCGTGGACTTATGTTTTCATTTGTCTTGAGTATGTACCTAGAAGTGGAATTGCTAGGTCATATGGTCACTCTATATTTAATATTTTGAGGACTTGCCAAACTGTTTTCCACAGTGGCTGCAGCATTTTACAGTCCTGCCAGTAACATATGAGAGTTCCAATTTCTCCTGTTTTTTTTTTTTAATAAAGATTTTATTTATTTATTTGACACACAGAGAAAGATAGAGAGAGAGCACAAGCAGGCGGAGCAGCAGAGGGAGAGGGAGAAGCAGGCTCCCAGCTGAGCCGGGAGGCCGATGCAGGGCTCGATCCCAGGACCCTGAGATCATGACCTGAGCTGAAGGCAGACGCTTAACTGACTGACCCACCCAGGCGCCCCTTGTTGTTACCTTTTTTAAAAAAATTATTACAGCCATCCTGGTGGGTGTGAAGGGGTATCTCATTGTGTTTTTGATTTGCATTTCCCTAATGGCTAATGATGTTGAGCGTCTTTTCATGTGCTTATTGGCCATTTGTTTATCTTTTTTGGAAAAATGTCTGTTCAGATCCCTTGCCCTTTCCTGCTTGGATTATTTATCTTTTTGTTTTGATTTATGAGTTCTTGACCTATACTGGATACAAGTCCCTTGCCAGATGTATGCTTTGCAAGTATTTTCTCCCATTCTATAGGTTGTCATTTCACTTTCTTGATGGTGTCATTTGCAGCACAAAAGTTTTTAATATTGACGGGGTCCAGTTTATTTTTTTCTTTTGTTACTTGTGCTTTTGGTGTCAGAGCTTGAAAACCACTGCCTAACCCAAGTTCATGAAGATTTTTTCCTGTGTTTGCTTCTATAGGTTTTATAGTTTTAGCTCTTACTTTGAAACCCATGGTTAATTTTGAGTTCATGTTTGTGTATAGTGTGAGGAAGGGGCCCAACTTCATTCTTTTGCATATAGATATACAGTTGTCCCCGAATCGTTTGTTGAAAGGAGATATTTTCTTTTATCTGCCTATTTAGTGACTGTCCCTCATTGTGATACTCTCTTACTAGTTAGGTGACCACATGGTGTCAGACCGAGAGAGGCTAGTGACCACAGCAACACAAATAGTGCTGTAAATGTCAGGGATGTAAGCTTTGGGTCAGGGAATTTCATACAACTTGTTTTAGTTCCTAGACTACTTTATTTTGGGGTGGTAAGAAGCAACTTAGCGTTCATCATTTTTTAAGCCCTGGGGAGAGAGACAGCCAGACACACGATTGTTAGTCTGTATAGTTCTTTCTCACCCAGGGTTCTGGGAAAGAATGAAACTCTGATGCCCTTAGACATCCATTGTCTGTAGGATCTTAACTTCTCTCCTATGCGTGTAGAGTGGTCTTTACTGTGTATTGTTTTGGAGAAGTTTGAGAAAAGAGTCACAAATAATTTTCTTAATTATCTAAGAGAACACTGGTTAAGAAAGGCCAAAAAAATAAACTAGTTGGAAAATGGTCATCAGCTCTTTGGGAAATGAACGTCAGAACTGACCTATTGTAAGAAACAAAATCTCCTTCAGATATCGTCATTGTCTATTTCATTTAGGGCAAAGGAAAAATAAAATAGTCTCTCCAAGTGAGCTGCTGAGTCCAGATTATAAATAAAATAGTCTCTCCAAGTGAGCTGCTGAGTCCAGATTATAACTAATAACTCTTGGATTGTGTCAAAATTACTGAGCTGCTTGTAAGGACAAAAGTAGGTTTTTTAAAGAAATAATTTGGCTTGCTTGGTTTTCCCTCACATCTTGTACATCTAGTAAAGATGGACTTTGGGAAAATAGAATGGTTTGAACAGTTTAGAGAGAGAGGATGTTGTATAACAATACTGTGACTGAAACTGTGCCCGCCTCCATGGCTTTTGCTCTTCTCTGTAACCCCGGGAAGTGTCCTGGACCACCCCAGGGCATGCCCAGCAGCCAGTGTGGCAGTGTCTGCTTGCCTGCACGACATTCTCAGTGTGGCTGGGATTCTGTTTTCCTTCCTGCTTCATGGTTGGCAGTACTGGAATGTCTGTGGGGTTGATGAGTGGCATCCCTAATGAAAACCTGCCATTTCCAAGTAGAGAAAAGGCAATACAAGTTCAATTCTTAGAAGCTGTGCTCATAATTCCTTGGGAGAAATCAGGGCTCAGGTTGAAGGCTAAGATTTTTCTCATCTAGAGACCCCAGTTTATATTCTTTCAAATATTGGTTCAGCTGCCTGAATGAAACCCAGGTAACAAGCACTCAAATAACATAGAAATTGACTTCTTTCTTGTATAAAAGTCTGAGTTGGTGAGTGGTCCCAAAGCATAGAGTAGCTCCGTGCAGGAACCCAGGTGCCTTCCCATATTCTTATTCTAGATGGGGGTTGCCTTTATCCTTGTGGTTGAAGATGGGTTGCCTTTATCCATGTGGCTGAAGATGGCTCCCTAACATGTTCACATTCTAGGCCCCAGAGAGGGGGGAGGAACAAATGGAGAGAAAGGACTACTTTTAAGGGTATGACTCAGAAGTGGCATCTCTGATCCCTTTGGCCCAAACTTAGTCATATGGCCTTGCCTACCTGCAAGAGAGACAGGGAAATGTAGCTTCTAGTTGGAGGGCCATGTACCTCACTCAAACTGAGAATGATAGGCTACTGCACATAAGAAGGCGCAAGAACAGGTTTTGGAGGATAGTCTGCCACAAAACCTTGAGTGGACAGTGCCTCACAGTGCTGCGGTTCTGAATTGATAGATAGCATGACACGCAATAGAATGAGACAAAATAAATGTCTACTTAAGTGTTATTCCTTCATTTTCCTCCCTGGAAACCAGGCCAGTTAGAGCGCAGCCTGGAACAGTGAGTAAAAATACTGGGAGAACCTGAAGAGAGAAACTCCGGAGGCAACTCTTAAGAGGGTGGTGCGGGTTAAAAACTTTGCTGACCCCTTCAGAGGTATTCTGGGCTTGATCCTATCTTTGTGTTATTTAGGGTTCCTTTGGTAGCAAATAATAAAAAGCAACTTGAGGTAGCAAAATATACTCTTTATTATAAGGATATAGGGGTGATTCAGGGAAATCAGTGGCAGGAGCGGATTGGAAGAGAAGATTGCAAACCTTCTGGGGCTCATTCTGATGCCTCTCAGTTTTCTTAAGGTGTTTTTGACATTTTTATCTGCAAAGACTTCTCAAGCGCCTTCCACTCCAGAGATTACATTCTCACTGTGCCGGGCCCAGGCTGAACTGAAATATTAGCCATAACTCAAGTCCTTCGGAGGGAGAATCTGGTCAGCTCAGCATGGGCCAGCATCCATTCAAGTGTCAAAATAGAGGTGAGGGTTTTCTTGAGACAACTAGAACTCCCTGCCAGGGGCCCATCCCTGTGGAGGAGGTAGAAGGAGATGGAGCCAGTTCCTAAAGGCGGAGGAAACCATTAGGAGCTGGAAACACATAGTATGGTAGTAGTGTAAGGAGGGGCATCAAGTTCTGATCAACATTTTTTTTAAACCTTTTATTTTGATATAATTACAGATTCACAGGAAATTACAACAACAGTGCAGAGCGGTCCTGTGGATCTTTTACCTAGTTTCTCTTAATGATTACATTTTACCTAACTATAGTACAATATCAAAACGAGGCAGCTGACATTGGGACAGCATATGTATTGTTCCATGCTGTTTAATCACATGTGTAGAGTCTTGTAACTGCCACTGTAATCATGGTACAGAAATCAGACCTACCCTCTCCTCGCCATTCCTTACCCCTGGCAACCACTGATCTGTTTCCCATCTCTAGAATTTTTTCATTTTGAAAATGTTATATAAATAGAATCACACAGCATTATCTTCTGAGTTTGGCTTTTTTCACTTGGCACAGTCCCTTGACATCCAACTTATATATCTCAGTCAGCACTGCTAAGCAATATTCTGTGGATGTGCCATAGTCTCTTGAGCCATTCACTTGTTGAGAGATGTTTTGGTTGTGTCTAGTTGTTGAGCATTATAAATAAAGTGACTGTGAGCATCTTGTGTACAGGTTCTTGTGTGTGCATAAATTTTCGTTTCTCTGGTATAAATGTCCAAAAGTGTGATTGCTGGGTTGTGTGTGGAGTGTATGTTTAGTTTTAAAAGAAACTGCCAAGTTGTTTTCCAAAATGGCTGTACCATTTTACATTTCCACCAGCAATGTATGACAGATGCAGTTTCTCCACATCCTCATCGTTTGGTATTGTCACTATTTTTTTATTTTAGCTGTTCAAATACGTGGGTACTTTTATCCTATCATGGTCTTAATTTGCGTTTCCCTAATGGCTAATGATGTTGAATGTCTTTTCATGTGTATATTTGCCATCATATATCCTCTTTGGTAACATGTCTCTTCATGTCCTTTGCCCATTTTCTAATTGAATTGTTTTTTTGCTGTTGAGATTTGAGAGTTCTTTTTATGTATTTTAAATACATATCAATTGTCAGGAATGTGGTTTGCAAATATTTTCTCTCAGTCTATAGCTTGTCATTTCATCCTCTTAACAGTCGTTTGCAATACAAAAGTTTTTAAAATTTTGAAGAAGTCCAACTTATTTTTTTTCTTTTATGGATTGTGCTTTTGTTGTTACATCTAAAAACTCTTCACGAACAAGCCCTAGGTCCTGAAGATTTTCTCTTATGTTTTATTCTAAAAGTTATATAATTTTACACTTTATATTTAAGTTGCTTGATCCATTTTGTGTTGTTTTGTGTAAGATCTGGGTCAGGGTTCTTGGCCTGTGGATGTTGAATTGCTTTGGCGCTGTTGGTTGAAAAGGTTATTCTTGGGACGCCAGGGTGGCTCAGTTGGTTGAGTGTCTGACTCTTGGTTTTGGCTCAGGTCATGATCTCATGGGTGGTGGGATTGAGCCCTGCATTGGGCTCCCCACTCTGTGCTCAGCAGTTTGGGGGGGTGCGGTTGAAAGAGTCTCTCCCTCTGCTCCACCCCCCAGTCAGGCATGCTTGCTCTCTCTCTAAAAATAAAATAAATCTTAAAAAAAAAAAAAGAAAAAGCTGTTCTTGCTCCATTGACTTGCTTTTGCACCTCTGTCAAAAGTAAGTTGTCTGTACTAGTGTGAGTGTGTTTCTGGGTTCTCTATTCTGTTCCACTGATCGATGTGTGTTTCCCTCTGCCAATACCACACAGTCTTGATTACTGTCTTCATTACTTATTTACTTGATTATTATAGCTATATAATAAAATGTCTTCTATTTCTCCCACTTTTATTATGATTTTTCAAAACTGTTTTAGGTATTCTAATTCCTCTAACTTTCCATATAAATTTTAGAATAATTTTGTCTTGATCCACAAAAATTCTTGCTGAGATTTCAATACGAATTGTGCTAAACCTTTGGGGCACCTCGGTGGCTCAGTTGGTTAAGCATTTGCTTTCAGCTCAGGTCATGATCCTGGGGTCCTGGGATCAAGTGCCCCGTGGGGCTCCCTGCTCAGCAGGGAGCCTGCTTCTCCATCTCCCTCTGCCCCTCCTCCCCTGGCTTGTGTTCTTCTTGCGTGTCTCTTTCTCTCTCAAATAAATAAATAAATAAATAATCTAAAAAAATTTTTAAAAAGGAATTGTGTTAAACTTTTATATTAATCTGAGGAGATTTGGCATCTTTACTATTTTGAGTCATTCAATCCATGAACATAAATATTTCTCTATTTTGATCCATTTTTCATTACTGTTGTATAGTTTTCAGCATGTAAATCTTGTGTATGTTTTGATATATCTAAGAACTTCAGTTTGAAGCTTTGTAAATGATACTGTATTTTTGATTTTTCCCCAAGTATTCAATGTTAGTGTATCAAAATTCTATTGATTTTTTAAAAAGATTATTTATTTATCTGAGAGAGAGAGAGGGAGGGAGAGGAGCAGAGGAAGAGGGACAAGCAGACTCCATCCTGAGTACAGAGCCCAATGCTGGGCTCGATCCCACAACCCAGAGAGCATAACCTGAGCCAAAATCAAGAGCCGGATGCTTAACTGACTGAGCCACCCAAGCGCCCCTGTTCTTTTGATTTTTCTGTGTTAATCTTCTCTCCTCCAAACTCATTTTTATTAGTTCGGAGAATTTTTTTATAGATTCCTTGGAATTTTCTATGTAGACCATCATGTCATCTGCTGATAGGGACAGTTTCATTCTTTTCAATATGTGTGCCTTTTATTTCCTTTTCTTGCATTACTGTGTTGGCTAGGACTTCTAGCACTGTGTTGAAAATAGTAATGAAAGTAGAAATCCTTGCTTTGTTCCTCATCTCAGGGGGGAAAGCATTCAGTTTTTCATTATGTATGATGTCAGCTGTAGTTTTTTGGTAGAAGTTTTTCATCAAGTTGGACAAGTTGGCCTCTATTCAGTTTTCTGAGAGTTTTTGTCATGAATGGGTATTGAGTTTTATCAGGTGATTTTTCTATATCAGTTGATATGTGATTTTTTTCTTTCATCTGTTAGGATGGTGGATTGCACTGATTGACTTTTGAATATTGAATCAGCCTTCCATCTCTGGAATAAAGCTCTCTTGGTCATGGTGTATAAGTTTTTAATACATTGCTAAATTCTATTTGTTAATATTTTGTTAAAGATTTTGCATCTATGTCCAGGAGAGATATTGTGTCTAATTTATATCTTGCTAGGCTGCCCCTTTCCGAGTCATTTGGCTGGAGAGAGCAGGATTTGGGTCGGGGGAGGCTTTTTATTGTCTACCCTTATTGACATTTATGGATTGCTGACTTCTCCACCATCCAGTCTGGGATATATGAAGCAAAAAAGAAAACCCAGGGAATTCACTGCTATGTGTTTCCCTGAGTACTGAGTTCCTCGGCTGGTTTGCCTTCTTCACTCCACTTTTTGGAGTAATCTTATGTTTGTCTTATATATTATGTCCAGGATTTTAACTGTAGTTGGTGGGGTAGAGAGAAGTATGTCTACTCCACATTGTCCTGAAACTGGAAATCCAATCCTTATCTTTCTAAAAGTAGATTTTAAAGCCTCTTCCCTGCCTATTTATGGATGAAAAAATTAATCTTTCAACTTCTTGGGGAATGGAGTATGCCTTCTGCAGATTAGCAGAGTGGGTAGCATAGTGTATATTCTCAGTGAATATTAATCAGATCTCCACAATGGTCACTATGCATTCCGGTTAAGTTGCCCCGGCATAGAACCTACGTCTCACGGATTGCACATATGTCTGTTTTCCTAGGGGAACTTAAATTGCCCTTTTGCTCTGTGAATTCAGTATTTTTTGCTGTGGGATATAAGGCTGTAGGTTATACCATCGTGTTGATATATCATCCCAACTGTAGGCAGCTTTGAGGGAGAAAGAGGGTTCTAAGAATAATTAGGGCCAGTCAAGCAGTGTAAGCAGAGACTGTAACGGGCAAAGTAGAACATATGGTCACCCTAGTTATACCTGCTCTGTGAATTTACTATTGACTTAATTTGGCAATAGTGGTATTAAAACATTTTCTCAAGTGCCACAGATGTATGCTGGTATATGCACATACCTGAGCATCCTCACACACATAGACACATTCAAGCATTCATGCCTAATAATAAAGAAATGAAGGAGAGTTGTATAGGCCGGCTAAGTTAATGTAGGATTTTTCCTAAAGAGAATGTTCTATTCATTTCCTTCAGACTTGTCCACAGGGGCCACCTGCAGGTCTTTTAAATGCCATTAAGGCTTACACAAAAAGGGCATTCTAGTTAATGTGGTTTGTCAGGAAGAAATACTTATTAAAATGTCTTGGAATAAATGGAATGCGGAGTTTGAAAAGGTCCAATTCACAGCTTTTCTTTCAAGTTATAAAATGGGAAGTACTTCAGGTGTAAATAATTCATCCGGACAAATTTGTTTCATTTGGTGTGTGTGTGTCTGCCTGCCTGCCTGCCTGCGAATATATGATTTTCTTTTTGGAGCCCTGTGACATTAGCCCCTTGTTAGTTGAGCACTTCTCATGAATCAGAGTGTTCTGACCCACAAGGGTCCGGACCTTTGAGTTCTATTTCACTGAACTGTTTGTACTTTTTTATAGACAGTCTTCCAAACAGAAGAAGGCTATTCAAACTGCTATCCGCAAAAATAAAGAGGCAAATGCAGTGCTGGCCCGGCTGAACAGTGAACTTCAACAGCAGCTCAAGGTAAGGAGCTTCCCCAAATTGGATTACTAGGCTTTTCTTCTGGTGGTTTTGTTTTGACCATTGGCCGAGCACCTGGTTCCATTCCTGTTGGTAAGACTTGCATCTTTGTTCTCAAACCTCTTTTGGAAGGCAGAGAATTGCTGCACTTAAGTTTCATGGGTTGGTTCTTGTATGTTTAGAGGAAGACTAGCAACTTGAATATGCAGGCTACATATTGTGTATTAGTGACTAGGATAGAGAATCTATTACAAAGGCTGTCTATAGCATTCTTCATTCCCAAAAGCTTCTGGACAAGCCCTTGATTGTTTAGATCCTCCCTGAATGATGCTATACTTACGTAGGTGGAAGAGGGTAGAACTGATACTATCAAAGGCCCGACCCCTCCGGCGGGCAAATGGTTCCATATCACCTTCTCAAGAACATCACCTCTCTCCTTACCACCTCTTTCTCTTCACCATTCATCTCCCCTGTTTTAGTTTTCCAGGACTGCCATAACAAAAGACTATAACCTTGGTGGCTGAAAGTACCAGAAATCACTTCTCACAACTCTGGAGGCTAGAAGTCTGAAATCAAGGTGTCAGCAGAGCTGTGCTCTGTCTCTGAAGGCTCTAGGGGAGAATCCTTCTTTCTTCTTTGCTTCTAGTAGTGGCTGGCAATCCTGGGCGTTCCTTGGCTTCCAGATGTGTTATTCCAATATCTGTCTTCACTGTCACATGGTCTTCTCTCTGGGTCTCTCTGTGTCTGTGTCCAAATTCCTCTTCTTATTGTGTCCTCTTCTTACAGGGACACCAGTCATTGAATTAAGGCCTGCCCTAGTTTAGCATAACCACATTTTAATTAAATTACATTCACAAAGGTCCTATTTCTCTATGAGGTCACATTTACAGGTGCTGGGAGTTAGGACTTAAGCGTATCATTTTGGGGGACACAGTTCTACCTACTGCATCCCCTGATTCTCTACTGCATCATTCCCATCCACATAAATGTGCTCCAGTATTGTCCATTATCTTGACTGCACATCCTTCTTCAATTGCAGCCCCCTCTCTCTGCTCTCCTTCCCAGCTAGGTTTCTTAGGAGTTGTTTTCATTTACTCACCTTCCTCACCAACAGCTTTCTCTCTCTCCACTTCAATGTGGCTTTGCTCTACTCCATTCACACCCCTCCTACAACCAAATCCAATGGGCCTGTTTCAATGTTATTCGAATTTTCAAAAGAATTCTACACAATTGGCCATTGCCTCCTCTGAAATGGCCTTTCTCACTGACTTTTGGACTACTATACTTTTTTCCTGTTCTTCTACTACCTCCCTCTCTCCCTCCTTCCCTCCCTTCCTGGTGCTTCTTCCTTAGCATTCTGTGCTTTTTCTTCCTTCTTTGATTTCTCTTTTATTACTCCCCCTTTGCCCCGATATTTTATTATGAACATTTTTAAGCATACAAGAAAGGTGAAAGAATCCTATGGTAAATACGTTTATAGCCACCTCTTTTAACATTTTACTAGTTTTATCACATATCTACCCCTCTGTTCCTCAGTCTACCTTATTTTTAACATGTTTTTCAGTAAATTGCAGACATCTGTATGCATCCCCTAAATACTGCAACATGCAGATCAGTAACTAGAGTTCAGTATTTTTACAGGTTGTTCTGATGATGTAAGTTTTACATAGAATGAATGCACAGATGCTAAGTGTGCCATTTGCTGAATTTTTACAAATGCATATACTTATGGAACCCAAACCCCTATCAAGATACAGAACATTACCATCATCCTACGAGGCTCCCTCATGCTCCTTCCCTGTCAGTTCCTGCCCCATGCACACAGAGGCAACCACTGTTCTGACTTTGTTATGTCACAGTGTTGTTTATTCTGTAACTTTATATAAATGGTGTTCTCTAACACGTACTTTTATGTAAAGCTTATTTCACTTAGTATTACATTTTTGAGATTCATTGATAATGCATGTGTCAGTAATCCATTCCTTTTTACTGCTGGATAGTATTCCATTGAGTGATTATTCTGCAATTTCGTTATCAGTTCTTCTATTAATAGACATGTGAGCTGTTGCTAGTTTTTGGCTATTTTGAAGAAAACCACATTCTTGAGTAAGTCTTTGTGTGGAAATATGTCATCATTTCTCTTGGGGAAGTACCTAAGATTTGGATTAGTAGGTAATGTGGCGAACATATGTGATTAGTTTTATTAGAAACTGCTAGAGCTTGGGGTGCCTGGGTGGCTTAGTCAGTGAAGCGTCTTGCCCTTTGGCTCAGGTCATGATCTCAGGGTCCTGGGATCGAGCCCCACGTCATCGGGCTCTCTGCTCAGCGGGGAGCCCGCTTCTCCCTTTCCCTCTGCCTGCCGCTCCCCCTGCTTGTGCTCTCGCTCTCTCTCTCTCTTCTCTCTCTCCCTCTGTCAAATAAATAAATAAAATCTTTAAAAAGAAAAAAAGAAAAGAAACTGCTAGAGCTTTTCCCAAAGTGGTTGTAGCATTTTGCACTCCTCCCACTAGAGCGTGAGAGTTCCTGTTATTCCACATCCTTGCCAACATTTGGTGGTGGTCTTTTAATTTTTGTTGATCCTGTGGTGATTTAGTTTTTATTTTGCATCTCCTTGATGCTTAATTTTGCTGAGCATTTTTTATTAAAATTATTTACCTTTCATATATTTTATTTTATGAAGTGTTAGAAATATCTGGCCATTTAAAAAATCGTTTTTTGTCTTTTTTTGTGGCACTCTAAGTAGATGCTTTTTATATTATCTTGGTTTCTAGTCCTTTGTCAGATACCTGTTTTATAAATGTTTTCTTCCAGTCTTTCATTTTCTTAACTGTATCTTTTCAAGAACAGGTATTTTTAATTTTTTTTTTTGGTATTTTTAATTTTTAAACAGTCTAATTTATCGGGTTTTTTTCTCTTATGGTTCTTATTTTCTTCGTGTATAAGGAAACTGCCTACATCTAAATTATGAAGATAGTCTCCTATGTTTTCTTTTAAAGCCATTATTGTTTTAGCTTTTGCATTTAGGTCTTAAGTTACTTTTTAAAACCACTTTATTGAGGTATGATTGATACACAAAAAACGATGCATATTTAATGTATGCAATGTGATACATACAGTTGGAAGATAATTATATATCCATGGACCCATCACTACAATTTATGCCATAAAACTATTCATCACATCTAAAAGTTTCCTTCCCCCTCTTATTATTATCATCATTATTATTTTGTGAACATGACAAGAACACTGAACATAAGATCTGCCCTCTTGGCAAATTTTTAATTATATACTACAGTGTAATTCATTGTAGGCACTATGCTGTATAGTAGATCTCTGGGCCTTACTCATTCTGTATAACTGAAACTTTGTACCCTTTGAATAGTACTTTCCCATTTCCCCCAGCCCCTGACAACCACCATTCTCTACTCTCCTTCTAGGAGTTTGACTGTTGTAGATTCCTCATATGAGTGGTGTCACTTGGCATTTGTCCTTCTGTGTCTGGCTCATTTCCCTTAGTGTAATGTCCTCCAAGTTTATCTGTGTTGTTGCAAATGGCTGAATTTCTTTCTTTTTAAAGGCTGAATAATATTCCATTGTATGTGTATATATTTTCTTTATCCATTTGTCCATTGGTAGACATTTAGGTTCCTTCCATGTCTTGGCTACTGTGAATAATGCCACAGTGGACATGAGAGTACAGATAATCTCTTCAAGATACTGATTTTAATTCCTTTGGATATATACCCAGAAGCTGGATCATATTTGGTAGTTCTATCTTTTTCAGCTTTATTGATATATAGTTGACATATAACACTGTGTATAGGTATCAACATGTTGATTTGATACATTTACATATTGCAATATGATTATCATAGTACTGTTAATACCTTTGTCACCTCACATAATTACCAGTTCTTTTATGTGGTGAGAACATTTAAGATTTACTCTCTTGGCAGCTTTGAAGTATGTAATGTAGTATTGCTAACTATAGACATCATGTTGTACATTAGATCCCTAGAACTTACGCATCTTATAACTGGAACTTTGCACCCTTGGTTAACATCTCTCCATTTCCCCTCCAGCTCCTGGCAACTTCCATTCTACTTTCTGTTTCTATGAATTTGGCTTTTTCACACACAGGTGATATCATGCAGTATTTGCCTTTCTCTGTCTGACTTACTTCCCTTGGCATAGTGCCTACAAGGTCCATCCATGTCACAAATGACAGGATTTCCTTCTTTCTTATGGCTGAATGGTACTCCGTTGTATGTATGTACTACATCTTTATCCATTCATCTGTAGACAGATACTGATGTTGCCATAGCTTGGCTGTTGTAAATAATACTGCAGTGAACATGGGAGTGGAGATATCCCTTTGAGATCCTGATTTTTATTTCATTTGGATACCCAGAAGTGGGATTGCTGGATCATGTGGTAGTTCTTTTTTTAATATTGAGGAACCTCCATGCTGTTCTCCATGGTGGCTGCACCAATTTACATTCCTACCAACAGTGCACAAGGATTCCCTTTTCTCCACATTTTTGGCAACACTTAATCTCTTCTTACCTTTTTGATAATAGCCGTTCTAACAGGTGTGAGGTGATATCTCATTGTAGTTTTTTTTTTTTTTAAAGTAGGCTCCACACCCAATGTGGGGCTTGAACTCACAGCCCTGAGATCAAGAGTTGCATACTCCACCAACTGAGCCAGCCACGTGCCTTTCATTGTGGTTTTGATTTACATTTCCTTGGTGATTGCTGATGTTGGGCATCTTTTTACGTACCTGTTGGTCATTTGTTTTGGTATGTTGTGTTTCCATTTTCATTTGTTTCAAGATCATTCTTGATTTCTTCTTTGACCTATTGGTTGTTCAGGAGTGAAATAATTTTTATTGCCCTCATTGTATTAATTCTTGTTAAAAGTTACTACCTCACTTTTTTTCCTCAAAGTATTAACTGGTTGCTTGTCACTCTAGCATTGTGCCTATTAATGTTTTATGTACT